CTGCTGAGGCCATCTGCATGGCCCATGTCTTTGCCTGGCTTGTGAACCAGTTTATGATCATATGCAGACAGGAAGATAGACCATCTCAACATTCTTGTGGATATTATGTGTGGGGTTTGTTTGTTCATTGTGAACAATCCTAGCAGTGGCTTATGGTCTGTAAAGACCGTGAAATGGTGGCCATATACGAAGTCATGGAACTTCTTTATGCCAGCCACTATGGCTAAGGCTTCCCTATCTATCTTTGCATAGTTGCGTTCAGCTGAGGATAGGGTCCTAGAGTAGTATGCTATTGGGACTTGTGTCCCATCAGCCTTCAAGTGACTTAACACAGCCCCAATCCCATAAGGGGACGCATCACAGGCAATGCACACCGGCAATTGCTCATTGAAATGTGCTAAGACCGCATTTGAAGAGAGCAAGCCCTTGACCTCCTTGAAACTCTTTTCGTGTACTTGTGTCCACTGCCAAAAAGCCTGTTTGTCCAAGAGCCGGTGTAGCCACTGCAGCCTTGTGAGAAAGGAATGAGTGGTAAAAATTTAACAGTCCCAGAAAGTCCTGAAGTTCGCCTTGGATTTGGGACTTGGAGCCTGCTGAATTGCTTGCAGCTTGGATTCAGCAGGGTGGATGCCCTGAGCATCAACGTGGAATCCTAGAAACTCAGTTGAGTTAACCCCGATCTTACACTTGTCTTGCTTCAGCTTCAGCCCCGCTTGGTGGAAATGTAGCAAAACGGCTCTCAGTCTTTCGGCTAAATTGTCAGCTGAGTCCCCAGCGATGAGGACATCATCAAAGTATGGGCAAACACCAGGAATATTATGGAGCGTTCACTCTATTACACTCTGGAAAATGCCAGGGGCCACATTTACTCCAAACTGCAGTCTTCTTACCTTGAATGCCCCCTGTGAGTTACTATAGTTTGTGCCTCTGCCGTTGCCTTGTCCACTGGCAATTGTTGATAGGCCTGAGCCAGGTCAAGCTTAGCAAAGATCTGGCCCCCTTGAGGGAAGCCAGAATACCCACAGGTACTGGGTACAAATGTTGCTGCAGCACTTTGTTAAGCGTGCATTTGTAGTCCACACAGATTCAGACTTCACCAATGGCCTTCAGTGGTGTAACTATAGGGGTTTCCCATGGACTGCTGTCCACAGGCTCTAAGATACCTTGCTGAATCAGCTTGTCCAGCTCTGCATCTATTTTACCCTTTAAGGCAAAGGCCACCCTGCGTGGCTTGATTCTAATGGGATCTAGCCTCAGAGAAATTGGGGGCCCTTTGTACGAGCCAAGTTCTGGACTAAACACATCTGCAAACTCCTTGCAGACCCCAGCCAGGCCTGTTGTTTGCACTCTGTTTGTTCCAGCCACCTGAATTCCAAGGGCCTCAAACCAGTCGAGTCCAATGAGGCTCATGCGGTCTCCTCCAACCACAACTACATCTACCAATCCCTCAAAATTCCTATGCTGCACCTTGAGCGTGGCCTGTCCCCTCACGTTGACTCTGGAATTCTGGAAATCTGTGAGGATGAGGTTCGACGGCCTGAGTTTAACCCATAGGCCGCTTCTGCTGCAAACCTTGTAAAAGGTGTCTAGGGAAATGATCGTTAGAGAGAACCCTGTGTCCAGCTCCATCAACAAGGGGACCCCTTGCAAATTCATGTCAATGTGAAGCTTCTTCCTAAGTGGCCTGTGGACCCCGTTCTAAAAATGCTCCTATGTGATGCGCAGAAACCCACCCTGTTCTGGCTGGGGACCTGGTACCTTTCTGAGGCAATTCTTCTGGGTAACGTTCCCTCTGGTGGCCCAAACAGACAGAGGCAATGTGGCCTTGCCTACCACATGCCCTGCAGATGGCGATGCGGAAATGGCAGTCTGCGCGGCGATGGCGGCCTCCAAGGTGATGATGCTGGCTGGGCCTTCCCTCCATGAGGCTTTCTCTCCAGAGCCTGATGCAGCCAGTCCACTTCTGATTCTGGATCCTGTTTGGATTCTTCGTAAGCGACCTCTTGATGGACTTGAGGGGGCTTGGCAAGCTGCAAGGCCTTCACCGCTCCACCGGCTGCTTCTTCGGTGGCAACTTCCCTCAAGGCATCTTGGAACGTGAGGCCTTCCTTTGCAAAGAGCTTCTGCTGCAACTCCCGGCTTCACAGGCCACAGACCAGCTGATCTCTCAGCCTCTCTTTCAAGAATTTGCAGGGCCTAGTTGCTTGTCGCAAGGCCTCAACAAATTCCGCAGCAGACTCACCAGGCCTCTGGTCCCTCTGCTCAAATGCATGTCGCCAGGCAATCACTGAGAGCTTGTGTTCGCAATGCTCTCGAAGCATCCTCTTCAAGTCTGTGTAGGCGATTGATTCCAGTGGTGCTGGGGTGACCAGATTCTCCACAATATCGAAGGTCTCTTGCCCACAAACACACAGCAATGTGGCAGCTTTGAGGCTGTCTTCGTGAATTTGATTCACCCGGAGGTAGTTCTCCACCCGGGCCACGTATGAGCTCCAACGTTCTGGATGAACTGTGTCAAACTCAGACAGCTTGCCTATCTTCGCCATCGTTGCAGTCCAGGAACTTCGTCCACGCCTTCTGCTGCAAGGTTTGGGAAGGGGCTCCCCTTGCTGAGCTCACCTCCAGTGTTTCCGTACTGGCAGGCTGAGTTGTGATCTCCGGACGCCACACTTCTCTGAGCTGCAAGCCTCCCGTGGTGAGTCAGCTTGGCTTCTTACTTCATTTTCCTTGCAGGCATCCCACCTTCGTCGCCAATGTTTTGTTCTCAGAAAAAAGGCATTGAGATGAAGTAACGAGTACCAAAACAGTCCTTCTTTATTGCAACACCAGCAGAACAGTTTACACAATGGTGCAGTTCCGTTTTATAGTCCCCTGCACAGCACCTTGTTGGCCAATCGTTGCAAGGGATTTTCCCGTCTTGTAATGTGCGCAAAGCTGGGAACAGCTTTTCTGCTCCTGGGCATCCACATGGTCTGCCTGGGCCAATCACTACAGCCTGCACCTGCTGGCCCAGGACATAACAATTTCCTTTGCAATAATCCATCAGGAAGACCAACTTATTTCCACTGCATTTAGAAGTAGGGTAGCTGAAATGCCAGTTTAATATTTCTTCCCTAATGGATTGCTTGGCATTTTCAAATAAAGGAATGAAAATTCTCCATTTGATGGCTGGTGCTATTGTAATATAACTTAGATTAGCACCCACCCTTCTGCCTTTAGGAAGGGCCCAAGGACGTGGCTATCACATTGTGCCTGGGGGTTCAGCAATAGTGGTGAGCCTTGGTAATGACTATATTAGAGGGAATATGATTTATAGTGATATGTTTTACTGTGATTATGTTTTACTGAATTTATAACTGTGGTTTTAAGATAGCTATATATTGGGCTAATTTATTATTTACTATTTCTATTGTTTTAATTGTTGTGAGATGCACAGAATTTCACTTCTAAGATGCACAGCTATGATAGACAGACAGACAGACAGACAGACAGACAGACAACTTGTTGATGGTATGGAGTTTTAGTTTTATATACATTTCACTCTTACTAATATAAGAGTGGCCCTTATTAGAATGGGTTTATTTATCACACTTCACTTTTTAGTTTTTCTATATTTATGAAAATAAAAAAACATATGAGTTAGAAAGCAGCTATTGTTGATTAGTACAAGAATCTATCCTTATCTAAACCATTATTCTCACCAATGGGGCTTTATGTTGTATTAATATGATTAAATTATAAAGTCAATAATATACTCTTAATTTATTTGACTTAATCAGATCAATAGAAAATTCATGTGATGGAAATCCAGGTTGTTAATTTAACTATTAAAATTCAAGTGAACTCATAAGTGGAATAGAATAAAAGGTAACCTTATCAGGAAATTGCAATGCAGCTATGAGTATGAAGATCTGAACTCCATAGGGAATATTTCAGAGGAAATGAGGATTAAAGCAGAAGGCATATTTTGTAAAGGGAGAAGTAGATATTTTCAAGTATTGTCTGTTTCTGAAATATTCATTATTAAAGATAACTCTTTAATAACTATTTTCACCAGGGAATCTTTATATCTATATACACATGGACATGTATGTGCACATGGGTTCACACATGTGTGCATAAGCATGTGTGTATGTGTGTGTACATATACATGTATTCACATTCATATCTAAATATTCCTACCAATCCAGCATAAAATATACCATTGCAAAATATTATTAAATAAGCATATAGTTAAAAGTTAAGAGCAAGGATACTTCTTTGTGTCTACCAGTTTGAGGCATTTTAAGAAAAAATAGTTTAAAAACATTTTTTCCCAAGATGTTTTTTTAACCTCCCAGTCTGGCCTACAATTCTGGAATTTCTGTCAATCTTCCATTGTGACAAATGTATAAAATTCATCAGAAATAAATATTTCTGAGCATTTCTGATTAGCACTACTGAAAATCATATTTATGTGAAAATAGCTACCAAGTGTAAGTCCGAGACTCCTTTTTATAGATATAGCAAAGATCTTTCTTTTACCTACCAAACTGTGCCAAAGGCCATCTAATAAAAAAGAGGCAGCATAACACATTGGGCCTCAGATGAGCCCAAGTGGGCAGAATCAGTGAGTAAATCCAGAAATTGGACACCTGTTCTTGCCCTTGTAGCTCTCGCTCATTTGAAGATGGCTTCATGGGGAAGTCTTATGTGTATCAGCATAGATACTTTCACTTGTATCTAAACCAAATACTTGCTTTTATTTTGTTAAAACAAGTGGTTTGCTAGATTCCAGGAGTGTGTTTTACCTGTCCTCCAGAACCTAATACTTTCCAAATGTGTGGACTAAAATTCCCATCATTTTCAGTCTGTACAGTTGACACAACCAGAGGGCACCAATTTGAAAAGGTGATACTTTTTAGTTTAAGTCTAGGCTGAGCGTATTAAGACCAAAGTGGTTTTATGATGAGTGGTTGCCTTGACTGACATTGTCTGATCTCTCCCATTATTCTTTACAGATTTTGGCTTCAGATTATTGCATCCTGGAAAGCTGGATCAGAAGCCATCATTGCCTTTGATAATGTGTCTCTCAGCCTGGATTGTTATCTGACAAGTGAGCAAGCCTGTGATTAGCTTTTAGATTGGTAGAGTGCCTGCATGTCTTGCCAAAGACTAAATGCTTTTCATTACACTTAGAATGTAGGTGTAACTTTTATTTCCTGCTTTGGTGCTTCCCCATATTTTGAAAAGGGAAGACAAGATGTCAGTCCTTCAAGGTAGATCAGACCAGGAAATCGGAGTTATGAATGCTAATGCTACTTATATTCTAAGTTTTTGATAAGAGAATCTTACAAATCTGAATGTTTATATTTCCTTTATCTGAACATTATCTTGGTTGGGGTTCTTTCTCTGTTCCTCAAAGTTATTCCTTCCGCCCATTACATAAGATGACCCCAGTATTACTATGAGTTTATGTCACAAAGCTTTCTGCATTTAATGTGTTGAATATTGACAAGAAATCCAGTGATTTTCTAGGCAGAAAACATTAAAAGTCTCATTATGTAGTAATATAATGCTCGCTAGAGTTTGTTTGTTTTATTCAATTTATATAGCTGCCAATTTCAGTCAATAACTCTGAGCAGCTTTCAGCTCAGAAAATATATTACCAGTAAAAATACCAAAAACATTTTAAAATAGTACATTTCAGGAATCTGTGTAAGTCTCCATCCCAGTGGAACCCAAGTGCAGTGTAAGTTAGCTGAGTAAGATTACTTTACCATTCTTATTTTCCCCATAACTTCATATGTACTAAATGCAAATGCACTGAACTATTGAATAATAGCTAAGTGTGAAATGTTTGTTTGTTACATCCCCTTAACCATTTCCTCCAACCATTGAAATCTTCAACCACGTTCTGTTCACATATTCCTTTAGCTAGTAGTTCTTCTAATGTAAATGCATGGTACAGGGACTCCTCCACTTATGACCAGAACTGGGACCAGAATTTCCATCATAAATTAGCACAGTCCTAAAGTAAGTCATCACATGACTGGAGTTGATTTTAGGACCACTTTTACCATGGTCACTAAAGTAAGTTGCCACTGTTAGACAAATCACATGGACATTAAGAAAACCGTATAATTGTTAAGCTAATCCCGCTTCCCCAATTCCCGCTGCGGTTCAAAACTGTCTGGGAAGATTGCAAATCTCAGTCAGATGACCATAGGATACCTACAATTGGTTATAAATGCCAGCTGGTTGACATGAATCTAAATTGCTGTCAACGCTGCAAATATTGTATATTCTTGCTTTTGACAATATGCAGAATTGTCTGGTATATATGGGGTTAATAAAGAACAGAAGGGGCATTGGGGGTAAAGCCCGGGAAAGAAAGAGGAAGAAAACATTTCATCTTCACACTAATTGGATAGTGTGAGATATGACGGCTAATTTAGGGAGGGAACATGCTGATAATTTAACTGCTCAGAGGAAGAGAACTTAGATCCTAGCATCCCTCTGTTGTGCCTGTGCCGACATTTTGTAACAATAAAAGACTTTTAGGAAAATAAATGCCTGGAAGTTCTTTGGAATGTTTCATTAGCCGGAACCACAACATCTGCAATTACACAAAATCACAAGAGTCATAACTTTTAGGACAGGTCACAAATCACTTTTTTCAAGGCCATTGTAATTTTGAATTATTGTTAAATGAATGGTCATTAAGTCTAGGACTACCTATATTTATTGCTTAGCTATTTTACAGCCACGCTCCACAGCATTCCAAAAGAAACCTCTCCTTTCTTTTTAATGAATTTCATTTGCTTGCACTTTTTGTGTACTAATACAAATACTGTTTAGTTTTAGCATCTGCAATTATAAAGAAATATAAAGAAAGAATATAAAGAAAGAAAAACTACTATTATGAAAATTATATAAACTTGCTGTAACTGGATGGTTATACAGCATTTACTGGAATTTTTCAACTATAAAAAATATGTCCCTTCAACTTCTTAGCTTCTTTCTTTCTTTTTTTCTTTCTTTCTTTCTTTCTTTCTTTCTTTCTTTCTTTCTTTCTTTCTTTCTTTCTTTCTCCCTTTATTTATTTCAAATGATGCTATAGCAATAATAGATGCCAGACTACCTTTCCCTTTAACACTATGTGTATTCTGGTTGCGATCATTTGGCCTGATTTGATTCACTTTTTTAGGCCTACACACTTAGCCCTACACAGTCAAAAAACAGACTGCTTTTTGTGTTTCAGTCAATGAAGAGAAGACATCTCGACACAACAGACCAGACGCAGGCAATCTGCTCTATGAAAGAGGTAGGGGGGAAGGACATTTTGAAGAAAAACCCACACAGTTTCCTGTTACAATTGGCTTTGCAGGTAGGATATTGGCTTCTTGACAATGATTTCAGAATGATTGGACCATTCACAAGAGTGCAGATTTCCAGTGCAGTGTCAATTAGAAGGCAAACAACAAAAAGAGAAATACTGATACCCAATAACCAACATCAGTATCAGTCAATAACAATTGCAGTTAAATACCAGCCTGTCTACACACCTTAAAGATCAAAGGTATCAATCAATATAAATAATTAAAATATCCAACTGTTCAAAAGCATCAATAAAAGAAAAATATTCTGAACTAAAAATGGAATTCAGGAAGAACTGGGGTGTTACCTTATAGCTTAGAATATGTAGGAAACATTGAGATAACCATGAATGGAATTCTTCAGTTCATTCTCCAGATTCTATCTAGGAGATCCTATTGTTGTTGTTATTATATAGACAAAAATGTGAAATCACAGCTGCCAGTTCTTTAGCTAATATTGACCTTCATATGCATTGCCTTCTTCCCAAGTGTTGTTATTGTTATAATATAGACAAAAATGTGAAATCACAGCTGTCAGTTCTTTAGCTGTTGTTGGCTTTCATACACATCAATTACAGTATAATATAGACAAAAGTGTGAAATCACAGCTGTCATTTCTTTAGCTGTTGTTGGCTTTCATACACATCAAGTTCTTCCCAACAACCTACTGTATATGTGCTGATAACCACTGGAACTACCATGGTTGGTTTATGCCATAATCTTGCAGTTTTAATTTTCAGATCACAATACTTTGTGATCTTCTCCAATTCTTTGACTTCTGTTCTACTATCTCCTAGTATTGCCACATCAATTATGTACAATTTCTTCTTTTCAGCCACAGTTAAATCTGATGTGCTATACAGCAAGACTATCAGTTTGTATTTGGAAATCCCACAATATTTTAACCTGCTTATTTTTAAGTACTTTTTCAATTCTTATGTTCCCAACAATTTTTCATTACCGATCATTTTTACTGATGTTCCAGTGAATCATTTTGGTGACTGTGTTATATCATTTATAATCAGTTTGTGTGATTGTCTTGCACAAGCTGAGTATGTGAGCTATTGTTTCTTCTGTTTCTTTGAATAATCTGCATTTTGAATCATTAGACAATTTTTCAGTTCTGACCTTGATTGCATTAGTTCAAATAGCTTGCTCTTGAGCAGCTAAAATCAAGCCTACAAAATCATTTTTTAAAAATATTCCAGTTATAAGCTATTGCCAGGATTTAGCTTTATCTACTTTTCACTTGATTTTTCTAGAAATTGAACATGTAATGTTTTTATTACCAGCATTCTGTGTGAGTTTTTATTACATTATTTCAATATTCATGTTTGTTTCTTTCACATTTCGTAAGTTCCGGTTTTTAACCTGCATCAATATGTGTTCTTGGTTGTCTTTTACATAATCAGCCAACACATGCTTTTCCTCTTTGACAGTTGGTTGGACTTGAGATAAAGCTCAACCTCTGTTGCTGCAGCACAGGTATCACTACAGAGATGTAATGCAAAATGAATAATTAGCTTTTTAATTTTTGGGTTCAAGTTGTGTCCATTTAATGATATCAGCTATGTATGGCCCAGGTATTGATGGCTTTGATGGTGTTTCCCCCCGTTCAATTTTTTTCTTGAGTACTTTTCTCACTCTTTTAATGTATTCTTTATTAATCACATTTTCAACTTGTCCATGCTTGTTGTTATCCAACCGTAACATACCCAAACATAAAATTTATATTTGATTTATACATTTTATATTTTATAATTAAAGGGCACCCTCGCTTAACAACCATTTAGTCAGTGACCATTCAAAATTATGATGGCGCTGAACAAAGACATTTATGATTGGTGCCAAACTTACAGCCCCTGCAGGGCCCTCTGATCACGTGATTGCAATCTGGGCACCTGGCAACCTGTTTTCACTTACCCTTTATATTTCAGAATGACATAGCACTTGTAAACACAAGGCTGCTTTATGAGAATTATAGCATACTCTATGCAGTTGCATTGTGGCTTGGAAAAGCCGAGGTCCCTAAACTAGACCTCTTCCCACTTCTTACTCTACCCATCCCTGTACTCTTCTGGACACAACAACAATCCTCTGCTTGTGTCCCTCAGCCAATCCTTTAAACTTCCCCTCTTCCATACCTGGCAAAGCCAGCAATATCAATCTCCTGCCTACTTCCTGAATATACTGTATGAGGTGAAGCAGGTAACAGAGGAGGTGCAGGAAGGAGGAAATTATAACATTGATGCAGGGGCTGAATGGCAGCCACTGGCTGTCACCAAGTGATGCAGAGGAAGTGTTCTTTTGTCTGCTTGGTCACCTAATGCCCCCCCCCATGCCCTAATGCCCTCCCATATAAGCAGTTGGGAGAAGCTCTTTTCCCAGGATCTGGTACGAAGGAGGATGGGACGACATATTTAGGCTACGTTCCTGGTGGCTATTAAGTGGTCACAAATAAAGAGTCTTTATTTGTCTGCCTTTTTACAGCCCAGATCTGATGGCTCCTGTGGGAAAAAAAGGGTATGAGTAAAATGAGAAAACCGAGGACCCACAAGAAAAAATGTGAAAGGGGTAGAGATTGCAAACCAAGACTGTGTTGTTTGATCAAAGAGAGATGTTGCTTACTTACGTATATACATACCTACATGCATATTTATCATGCTATTTCTTTGGGGGTAAGCAACCTATTCAAAGTTCAGAAAGGTAGCAAAAAAAGATAGCAACAACAAAAACAAAAAATATAGCCAAAAAGATTAAAAGCATGAGATATTCTCTTCAGGGAGGTTGATCTAAATTCTACAGGGCTAGTTTACTTTCTCTGCCTATAGCCATTCTACATTTATTATAAATTTCATCCTTCTTTCATTTTCTTCCTCTATGACTATTTTCATCCCAATCCTCTCTTGACAGTACCAAAAATGGTCTGTCCCGCATTTATGTCATTCTTGTATCTTTCTCTAATTCTTAATTTATTCTTGTAAATAATGAAATTGACTGTGTTTTAGATTTATATGCATCCCTGTTCCAGTTGTACAAATGAATACAAATGTTTAAGATGTGTATATGAATCATATGAGAAATTTGGGACAACCATGGCCTGGATAATTGAGAATCTCCACAGATACAAATCATATGAGAAATTTTTCAAAGCAGAGGCTCACAAGTTTACATTTCCATTCCTTCTGCCCAAAATATATCCAAACTGACAGTATTATATGCTTCAAGGATACTAACCTAAGCCCAGTTTTATCTCAAATATATTCATGCTCTTCTTTGCAAAATAAGATTGTTAATCTAGAGAGTACCTTGCAGGACAACATGAATGGGTTGCCAGCACCTCCTGAATGCAGAGCTACATCAGCATGTTGAGAACACATTTAGCACACATGATTGGGTATTTTCTCTTATTTGTGATAGCTGTTTCTTGATGGTTGCATGTCCCTCATCATAAAAGTGACAGTCTTGCATTCCTGCTGGAAACTAAAATTGATTTGGCTACAGCTCTGCAGGAGCTATCTGCTTTCAGTTTGAAAATAAAGCTAAGAGGCACAGCAGGGATGGAGGGGGAGATAAGTTCTCCAGCACAGCAAAATCATCTATTTACTTTCCTAGAACAGCCTAATTACTTGTCCACAGGATAAAATTAGATGTCAGCAACAAGAAGGAGTAAGCAGCAAAATAACATCAAGAGTTACAGATAAGGTACTTATTTATTTATAAGTTATATACTAGTTACTCTTCAGCAAAAGCTCCTAGAACAGTTCGCAAGAATTAAAAAAGTAAACAAATATCAAACAATAAAACATGCCCTAAATTCCAGCATAAAAATAAACTAAGTGCAAATAAACAACTCTAAAAGCAGATATTATGTTGTGATTTACATTGAAAACTGTGCAAGTTCACACAGAAGAAACACCTGGACAGAGTCACCATTTCCTGTCCAAAGGTTCTCTAAAGCAGTGTTTCTCAACCTTGACAATTGTCCACATGCCTTAAAATTGTCAAGGTTGAGAAACACTGCTAAAGTCTCAAGGTTTCTATCCAATCTTTCTTTAGTCTGAAGTCAAATGATTGACTCAGACTGATAACAGAGAAATCTTCTATAGTTTTTATACCAGTTTTCACTCAGTTTGAGGACTGAACATTTCAAAAGAACTTCCCCAGTGCAAGGGAATTTATCATTAAAGTGGACTATACTATTCTTGTGTTTGTTTTGTTATGAGATGGCCAAGAAGTATGGGTGAATCTCTCATCTTTTATGACACTATAATTTATTCAGTCATCCACAGCTTCAAGAGAAGTCATTGTGAGAGAAGTTCTGGAACTTTTTCAGTCGTGGTGCTGCTATCATCATTAAACAAGACTCTTGCCCTTAAGAAATTGTTGGAGATTTTTTGTGAAATGTTTAGAAAAGCCATTTATGACCAGGTCTAATTTTTAGAACTTCCAGTCACACCGACCATTTGGATCTATGCTCTAAGAGAGGTGTCTGCAAAATTTTATAATAAAAAAAATAAAAAGTCAAGATGGTGGCCACAACAGTAAGTTTGAAGTTCCTCCTGATAAACATAACAACATTGATTGTGCCATCATGACACTGCTAATGCTCAGATGTAGAAAAGCAACCATCAAAATAAGATGTTTTTGACTTGCTATTACAATTACAGAATCCAACAGGTCACTCTTGAAATATGCCAGCCTTTAAAAATAAAGAAGAAAAGGGGGAAAAAAAACAAGTAAATCACCTTAGCATGATATTTTAATATTTATGCTACATTTATTTTCCTTCTCCATTTTTGGTTATGTTTCAGCAACCTTGTGAGAAAGCCTGTATCTGCCATATAGAAAAGGTTTATAGAAACTAATAGTTACCTTTTCCATAAATTAAAAATAGATGTAAAAATTGATTCTGAAAAGAAATGATATTCATGGTTGTCTTAGGGAGCTTGGATGTCTTTTCCTCTCAGCCTTTTTGAAGTCTGACATAATAAATGATAATAAATGAAAG